ACACTGGGTTAGCCTGGGCTATCCAGGGCAGGACAGGGAACAGTCAGAGTGTTTCAAATATAAGACTTGGGATTATGTTTTTTAATGAGCTGAGAATCCTTGGATTCCATTCACTTTCCTTGCAACCAGACAGCAGCTGGGTTAGCCTGGGTTAGCACTGCAGGAACAAGTTAAGCCCCATTGCTTCCGTTTCAAGAGTAGGCTATGCTGTGATGTCACAGCGGCTGTTTCCAAATGGGTTATCTGCCCTGAGTTCAATGCTGTTGCGAAGTGGGTTTTCCCATGTCTCTCCTAAGGTTTCCCTTGCTTTTCACAGCCAATAATTTACCCAAACAACTATGATGGATATCAGACAATGGAGGCAACTTCACAATAAAACTCCAAGTTACAAATTTATAAATGAGTGCACCAAAGCGTTGGAAAACGCACTATTGAAGAGACAAATGCAGAGAAAGCTAATGATGGTGTCAGGTCCTCAATGATGTCTAGAAACACAGCTCACTTTTGAAGAATAATATCCAGGGAACAGTTTTGTTGTTGTTGCTGTCAAGTCACAGATGATTTATGGTGACCCCCGGTAGGGTTTCCAAGACAAAAAATGTTCAGAGGTGGTTTGCCATTACCTGGCTCTGCGGGGCGATCATGGTATGCCTTGGTGGAATCCCATCCAAGTACTAACCAAGGCAGACCCTGTTTAGCTTCTGAGATTTGATGAGACACTGGGTTAGCCTGGGCTATCCAGGGCAGGACAGGGAACAGTCAGAGTGTTTCAAATATAAGACTTGGGATTATGTTTTTTAATGAGCTGAGAATCCTTGGATTCCATTCACTTTCCTTGCAACCAGACAGCAGCTGGGTTAGCCTGGGTTAGCACTGCAGGAACAAGTTAAGCCCCATTGCTTCCGTTTCAAGAGTAGGCTATGCTGTGATGTCACAGCGGCTGTTTCCAAATGGGTTATCTGCCCTGAGTTCAATGCTGTTGCGAAGTGGGTTTTCCCATGTCTCTCCTAAGGTTTCCCTTGCTTTTCTCCAGTTCCCCCAAGTATGATTTTCTGTGAAGCTTTGGGAACGGTCGAAGCAAAACCTGGATGGCTGCCATGTAGGTAGGAAAGTTTGCATTCTCCTAGTCCCAGCCACATGGTGGCCATTTTCCCTGCCCGACCGTACCATGGCCATTCCCGCCCCCGCCCCCACGGGCTTTTGTGAGTTTTTTTTTAATTGGCGACTGATTGGTGACAGCTGGTGTTATCAGGTTCTCTAAATTCTCAGCTTTCATTTTTTAAAAAGGAAGTCTCTAGCCCCTTTTGTTGCAGACAAAGGGGAAAGGCATAGATCTGCAACAAAGCTGGGAATTCAGAGAACCTGATACAGAGGTTGCTATAACATTACAACAATATAATGATATTCAATTGCCTTTTAATTTAAAAAAAAAATCTTTAGTGGTGGAAATGGCTGATGCTGGTCAACCCGGACAGAGAAAAGGTGCCATGTGGAAGCCCCATTACCACTCTACTGCAACAGCAAAGGGGCAACTACACAACCTGGCCCTGTGTGGAAAACATCAGTGTTTTGATGATCTTCATCAATGTAATGGGGATGGACTATGGCTCAGTGGTACAGCATCTGCTTGGTATGCAGAAGACCCCAGGTTCAATTCCCAGCATTTCATTTAAGAAGATCAGGTAGTAAGAAAGGTAGTGACAACTACCTCACAGTCAAACTATATGTGATGGCCATTTTTAAAATGCCATGAGGCCCCTTTCTAGATTAGGCATGCAGCAGGGCAGGCTGATGTGCTCTTGTCCCTCTCCCCACCTGTGTCTTTTAAAGTGCCAAAACAGACAAACACACATACCCCTTCCAGCAATGGTTTCAGCACTTTAAGGGGGGGCATGCTGCATCATAACATTTTAAAATCTCTTTAAAGTGGCGGTGACAGCAGCATCCATGGATCAGATAGAAAACTGCTGCCAGTCTGAGGCCCCGGTCACACGGCAAAGTTGTCGCGGGAGAGGCACGGGAGTTGCGCGGATTTTCCGGGCACAATCACACCCCAACATCTGGGAAGCGCAGTGCTCCCGTGGCGAACCCGTGGCTCCCCGCCGAAGGTGCGGATTAAAAAACTAGTACTTACGAGGTACTAGTTTCCGGAAACCGCGAGCCAAGGGCAGGCATCTGATCGCGTTTCCGGTGGACTTACGTGGCATCCGGTGCCCGTCTCCGCAGGTTGCACAACAGAGCCCAACAGCACATGCACACAAAGAGCGATTGCTAGTGCGATCGCGCCGCGCGGCTTCTGTGCCGTGCTGCAGGATACCTGTCTGGTTGGCATCTCCCCCCTAACCACGGGACCTCGACCGGGACGTGTGCTTGGGCGGCCGAACGTTAGTTTCCTCCGGGGCAATTAGCCACGCCTCCCCCCGCGATATCCGGCCCGTGTGACCGGGGCCTGAGTAGACAATAGTCATCTTGGTGGACCAGAGTTCTGATTCAGTATAAAGCAGCTAACCTAAGTTCAAATCCTGACTCTGCCACAGAATCTTGCTGGAAGTCCTTAGGCCAGTCACTCTATCAGCCTAACCTGCCTCACAGAGTTGTTGTAAGGAAGGGAGAACAATGTTGTAATTGGTTTGAGTCCCTGTTGTGGAGAAAAGCTGGGTTACTAAATAAACAAACCATTATCTCACTCACCAGTATGAACTATTGAAAAACACAGGCATTGCTTCACTTTCTTGCTGTTCACATCAGAGTCTGTCAGTGCCTTCATGTTCAGTTGTGATAGGAAGACTCCAGAAGCTAAAGTTTTTCTGCTCTGCATGTAATTACTTTGCTTCTTTTGGACCCAATAGCTTGCAGCCTTTCTATTCCCTGTGGATGACAATAGCTCTTTGCCTCTATAAGGGCTGCTCCAGCCCGGCTTCCACACTTCGCTCCTGCCGGCTTCATCTGGATTCTTCCCCATTTATTAGCCTTCCACATAAGTCCTCAGAGCAGGGATTGTTTTATTTATTTATTTATTTAAAATAAATCATTTTGTTGAGATATTTATTTAAAATGAATCATTTTGTTTAAATTATGAAATGAACCTCTCTGGACTTCTTATTAACGCAGGAGGGACTAAGAGAATACAAACCAGATGGTAATATTATTGCAGTGATTCTTATTTTCAGTAATTTTACTAAGGATCTTAACAGAAGATAGATATTCCCTGGTTCCTTCAAACTGACTTCAGGAATGGAGGGGGAGATAACAAAATTACTAAAACATCCACCCAAATGTTTAAATGACAAAAAATGAATCTTGTTTGGAGAAAAATTCACTAATGAGAGAATCTGAGCAGTTTTTGCAATCATCTTATTTATTGTAATGTAAACGTTTTGTAACAATGTGTCAAATGTATGTGTGGTTTTTCTTAATGTTGTAAAAAATCACTATGGTCAGCCAAGGCATTTTGGGCTGCCACTTGGAGACAGTCTCTAAAGTTGACCTTTAAGCAATCAGCTTTCTAATGGCAATGGTTACAGAGACATAGTACAGCCCAATCTTGTCAGATCTCTCAGAAGCTAAGCAGGGTCAATACTTAGGCAAGAGACCATCAAAGAAGACTTTGCAGAGGAGGGAAACGGCAAACCACCTCACAATTTACCTCTCTTCTGTCTTCCTCGTTTATTATTGGGAAGTTAATTTTAAACAGCATGTTGTAAAAAATCACTATGGTCAGCCAAGGCATTTTGGGCTGCCACTTGGAGACAGTCTCTAAAGTTGACCTTTAAGCAATCAGCTTTCTAATGGCAATGGTTACAGAGACATAGTACAGCCCAATCTTGTCAGATCTCTCAGAAGCTAAGCAGGGTCAATACTTAGGCAAGAGACCATCAAAGAAGACTTTGCAGAGGAGGGAAACGGCAAACCACCTCACAATTTACCTCTCTTCTGTCTTCCTCGTTTATTATTGGGAAGTTAATTTTAAACAGCTGCTGTTGAACTCAGTGAGAATATTATTTACACACACGTCTGGATTGGATTGAGAATTTTTAATGATGCCCCCCCTTAATATTCTATCATGTTTCCTGCAGAGTCCTAACACAGTACGAGGGAGTGCCTAGCGAGTTTATTGGGAAGCAGCGTCCCGTTTTATTCAACGAGACTTACCCCCAGGAAAGTGTTTAGGAGGGCACTGAAGTTTCAGAGGGCAGCCGTGTTGCTCTGCAGCAGAACTGTTGAGAGTCCACTAGCACCTTAAGAGACCAATCCTGAAACTCTTGTTGGTCTCTAAGGTGCTACTGGACTCAGATCTAACTGTCTGTTCCCCTGACTAACTGTCTGTTCCACTGATAGATAGATAGATAGATAGATAGATAGATAGATAGATAGATAGATAGATAGATAGATAGATAGAGATCAGTGTTCCCTCTAAGCTGAGTTAGTGTGAGCTAGCTCACAGTTTTTTAGCCTCCAGCTCACACATTTTTGTCTCCACTCAGGAAGGATGGCTCCAGAGCAAACTAATTTATGCAGTAGCCAAATCGCTCGCTCACAACTTTAATGCCAGTAGCTCACAAAGTAGAATTTTTGCTCACAAGACTCCACAGCTTAGAGGGAGCATTGATATATATATAGATATAAATTATCTATATAAAACATACAGCGGTAAAGATAGGGAGAATAAAGCGAGACCAGTTATAAACCTTCTGCATCAGTTCCGTGTCTGCTACACCCAAATAACAACATTCTCGTAGCACCTCTAACGCTTTTTCTTTTTGCATCTGCTATAGGTTACACGTAAGGAAACGTTGTATAAAGCGGGCTACTGTCGCGTCCTAACATTTGCCGTACAAGATGGCAGCGCCCATTTTCTCTTTTCTAGCCTGTAAACAGAACACGACAGACGAAATTGTACTTCCGGGTCTGAGCCTCGGTGTTTGAACTTTGACCTGTGCGCCATCTCCTTCTTTCTCTTCCGGTGCCGGCGCGAACTCTAGGTAAGGGCTTCTTCCTCCCTCTCCCGGGTGAAGGGGGTTTGAATCCGTGTCCATCCCGCGGTGTTGAGGGACCGGGAGAGCTTGAGGGTGAGTTGCGTGATGGGTCGCGCTCCCGGAGGACGACTGTGGGTGGTGTGTAGTTGGAGAGCGAGAAGATGCCGAGGCTGCCACCGGCTCCTCCTCAGAAAGGCCTATCCGTCTGGAGCCGGGTTGGGGACAGGGCGGCTCTCTTCCTCAAGAGGCACGTGCGGGTCCCGCTGAGTACGTTTTTCTTTCTGATACTTAACCAGCGCTGGTATTTGAAGTGACGGGATATGACGGCAGAAGAATCTTACATTCAAATAGTAGGAGATATCCTTCTCCGTGTTTTATGTCCCAGTTCATTCTGCGGAATGGAGAAAAAGGCGACGATCCTGTAATTGCAGTGTGGATATTTGTTTTGTCTTTTGCTGCTTCTTTTGCTGCTAGTTCGGAGCACTGGGAATAAGTTGGCGTTCCGATGTAACCTTTCGGTGTTGCAGTCTTTGGCATGTTTGCCTGGAAATAGATTGAAGTGAATATGAAGGGATTTGCTTCTGAGAAAACATGCATAGAACGGTGCTGTAAAATGCTTTGATGGAAAGCAGTGCATCAGTTAGCTATTTGTGGTTTCTCAGAGAGACAGTGTTACGTACAGTGTTAAATCTGGACCGAAGAGGCTTGGGTTCAAATTCCAGTTCAGCCATGAAATTATTGCCTCCCCCAGATACAGGTAAGATAGATAAACCGTGTGTCCTGATATAGTTAAAACAAGCACTTGCTTCTTGGAGTGACTTCTGGAGAGAATAGTGTAGCTAATGTTATATTTGTGTAAGTAGTGTGGGTGTTGTAAACCATATTGTCTCAACAGGAATGAAGACTTGTGTGTTTTGCAATATGAGCTCAGTCATAAGAACGTAAGAGAAGCCAATGCTGGATCAGGCCAATGGCCCATCCAGTCCAACACTCTGTCACACAGTGGCCAAAACTACCAGGTGCCATCAGGAGGTCCACCAGTGGGGTCAGGATACTAGGAGCCCTTCCGCTGTTGCCCTCCCCCAAGTCTCTAGGTTTTGTCACTGATGCTTCAGAATTTGCTAAAGCAAGTAAAGAGTACTAGTGCAGTTTATTTGCTACAGACTGGGGAGATGGAGATCAGCTCACTTCATGGTCTAGTCATACTTTCTTTTAGCTTAGCTTAACTCACGGGATGGCCATCTAGATAAAGGTGGGGGGAGAGACTGTGTGTACTGCTTTCAGCTGTTTGGAAGATTAAAAAATACAAACCTTGTTAAGGTAATAAATGCAGTTTTTGTATCTGCCTAATCCTATGCTCTTGTATTCTAAAGCCCCTCTCTAACATTACTTTTGTTTTCTTTTAGGAGTGAAACATGGTCCAACGCTTGACATACCGCCGTAGGCTGTCCTACAACACAGCCTCTAACAAGACTAGGCTGTAAGTAAGATTTTGAGTATTACTGAATTCCATTTGTTGTAATTGTGGAAGAGTCAATTCATGCTTTCCTCATTCTTGTAGATCTCGAACACCAGGTAACAGGATTGTTTACCTTTACACCAAGAAGGTCGGCAAAGCACCAAAGTCTGCATGTGGTGTGTGCCCAGGAAGACTTCGTGGTGTAAGTGTGTTATGCTCATGCCTTTGGGTTAACTGGTTTGCCCTATAAAGATGGAACCTGTAGCAGCATGCTGAGGCCAGTTTTTATATGCCTTGCACTTCCTAGGTAAACTACCTGTCTCTTCTCTGTGAAAAATCAGAATTCAGGAGCAGTTTATGACCACCTGCTCATGTACTGAGAATGCTCCATCATTGACCCATGGTGATGTTTACTGTGCAGTTGCAGCTGTCTAACAATGCATTTTTGGGATGGAACTGCTGTTAGGGATGACTGCTGTTCATGAGTTAGTATGGGAGCATCAGTAACATTAAATGCAGCTGTTTATACTATGCATGTCAAGAAAATCAGTGCTAGGACACCACCTAGACAATTCTGGAGTACAGAATAATTATTACTTCATCCAACGGTATAGAGTCTGTCTCTATCAAGCAGCATCTTCTCATACTCAGAAAAATATGAAAAGTAATTCCTGCTTTGATATGAGTTTGGGATGGATGATATAAATAGTTTAGGACAGTAAATTAGACACTTTGATGTGTTATGTTTTGTATTTATTGTACTTTATTGTTAAATGTATTAAATTCATGGCTAATGACATTTTCTGAGAATTTTGTCATGTATTTTGGTGACTCTGTACATTCTTTTTGACATGGGCAAAGCAACAAAAAACTGTAACCACAGTAGGAATGGATACAGAAGCAAAACACTCCACAGCTGATTTACAGGGACTACTTACTGCTGTTTTGTTTTCCCTGTTATGTAACAAGGGCTAGAACAGATATATGTTCTGCTTTCAAACTTAGTTTACAATTAAAACTTTAAAAAGGAAAACAGCTATCATCTCCCTGATGCATTGTTCATGTGAAGGGGCAACTTGCAAAGCAATGATGTGGCTAGTGCAGGAGTGGGATCTTAATTAAATGCTAGCAGTGTGATGTTGCTGTATTGAAAAGAGTTTTTTTAAATGTATTTCAATTATATGGTTTTAAAGTAACAATGCCTCTTAGATTAAATAAACATCTGTTCTTAGGTTATTACAGTGCATGTATGTTTAAAACTGAGATTTTGCTAAAGATATGGCGCAACTGGAGCTAAGCCTACAAACGTTACTGTATTCAAGTAACCCTAGTTTAATAGCCAATCCTGTGGGCTGTGGGTTATTGTTTTTTCCATTTACTACAGGTTCGTGCTGTTCGTCCTAAAGTTCTTATGAGACTGTCCAAAACAAAGAAGCATGTTAGCAGAGCCTATGGTGGATCCATGTGCGCTAAATGCGTTCGTGACAGGTAACTTGCATCTTGCAGTTATTCTGCTGAAGTTTTTAGAGTGAGGTAGATTTGTAACTTCTTAGTTGTAACTATGTCGTGAACACGAGGCTACAGCTTGTGCTGTACGGATGGATGTAAGCCTGGTTGTATTGATTGATGCTGATGATTCTGTCTAGGAGCTTCTGAATGCTGCATTTCATAGCAGAAGCATGTCTTAGATGTGCACTCAGTTGGTAGTTTATTTTAAAATAACAGAATCAATGCCTGTCAGTGGTTTCCACTGCAGACTTACAGCATGCATAAAAGCTATTAGTGGAAAGGATTTAGGTTTTGCTGTGCTACTGCTAAACCAGTTTAGAGATGGAGTGAAGCAGTTTCCTTAATTTACAATCTTGGCCATGCTGGCACACGCATTTGCCTGTCTCATTGGAGCCTATTGTGTCTGAAACTGATCTTACTTTCCACTGGAGTTGACAAGCTATCTAGATGTAATGGATCCGAGTTAACTTATTCAGCATTCAGATGTACAGTTGAGGAGAGTAATTTCAATAGGCCATGGTGTGTGGAGTATGATGTATTTTCTGAAAAACTTTCAAGAGTATGATCCGATTTAACGTGTTTACTTTGACTTATATTTTAGTAAACAAATATTAAAATTACCTTATGTTAGTTTTATGTCCCAAAACCACAAGCAACTTGAATTTTAATATTTGATTAGGAACATAATGAAGTATGGTTTAACTGTTATATTAGAAAATGCAAAGCTTTTTAAGGACAACATAGCCTGTACTTCCCTTACATTGTTTGAAGTTAAGAAAAAAACAAGAGGCACTGAAAACTACAGAGGCACTTAACAGAACAGTGCTAAAGTTTGAGAAGTTCTGAATTTTCTTTCCTCTGTTCTAATTTGCTATAAGTTCTGCAGAAGAAAACTGAAATACTGTATTTTAAAAATGGAAAAGGATAGTTAACAGTCGTGGACAGTGCTGAAATGTTAATGACTGCTTTGTGGGTTTTTCCCTGTAGAATCAAACGGGCATTCCTTATTGAGGAACAGAAGATTGTTGTCAAGGTGTTGAAGGCCCAAGCACAGAGTCAGAAATCAAAGTGAATATTTGTGTTTGCCTAATAAATGAAAAATCAACTTTCTCTTGTGTACTGTGATATTATGGTATCTATTTTGAATTCAAAAACTTGTTCAGTGTTGTGTTTGATTCCTGAGATACAATCGTGAACAATTTGCATGAAGAGATCGTGGACAGTGCTGAAATGTTAATGACTGCTTTGTGGGTTTTTCCCTGTAGAATCAAACGGGCATTCCTTATTGAGGAACAGAAGATTGTTGTCAAGGTGTTGAAGGCCCAAGCACAGAGTCAGAAATCAAAGTGAATATTTGTGTTTGCCTAATAAATGAAAAATCAACTTTCTCTTGTGTACTGTGTTTGATTCCTGACATACAATCGTGAACAATTTGCATGAAGAGAGCTAAGAGTCCTTAAAATAACATTTTTCAGATGTTGTGCTGTTCAGCACTATTTCTCATTGCCTCTCTGTTATAATACTGTTAATGTCATTTATTAGTATGGTACTTTACAGGGTAACAACAAAATGGCAGATCCCTGCTGTAAGGAAATTAAAGGCCATAGAGGAAGGGAAGGGTCTAGTGATGAATAATCTGTATGCAGTTCAGTTGTTCATATTTAGGCTCAGTTCCATTAGGGTAGAAGAATTAAGAATGTTATGCCAGTGTCTTCACAGAAAAGTTAGGTTTTATGGAGAGGTCTGATGAGAGAAGCAGATTCGTACAGGTATTCTGGATGGGCATTTCAGACATAAGGAGCAGCAGGAAAGAAGGATGAAGTGACTTATGGAAGTGGGAGACCCAGGACTGTTGAGGGAGATTGACTCAGCCAAAGTGAGCTTCATGGCAGAGCGGGAGCTTGTACCCAGCTATCCCTGTCCCACATTCTAACTGCTACCAAAGTCAACCTAAAGTAAAAGTAAAGTAAAGGTTCCCTTGCTCGAAAGCCAGTCGAATCCGACTCTAGGGTTGCGGTGCTCATCTCCGTTTCAAAGCCGAAGAGCCAGCGCTGTCTGAAGACGTTTCCGTGGTCATGTGGCCGGCATGACTAAAAACCAAGGTGCACGGAACGCTGTTACCTTCCCACCGAAGTGGTCCCTATTTATCTACTTGCAATTTCTTGCTTTCGAACTGCTAGGTTGGCAGGAGCTGGAACTAGAGACAGGAGCTCACCCTGTCTTGCGGCACCCGGGTCTTGAACCGCTGAACTACTGACCTTCCACAGCCTGCAGTTCAGCGTCTTAACCACTTGAGCCACCGCAGCTCAACCTAGCTCGCCACAAAAAAGAGCTAGAATTTCAGGCTGCCAGACAAGTCTTCGGATCTCCTGGCTATACTACACTCACTGCCATATTATTATTATTACTGCTTCGCCCACTGCTTAATGCATTCTTTCCTAAGGTGGATGCTGAAATAGTAAGAGTGAAGTAACAACAATGCCAATGAAAAAGAAGAGGGCTACAACTCAAGGGATTGTTCCGTTCTGCTTGAACTTAGTTGGTCACCAATTATTTTAGGCTTCCTGATTTTGTAAAACCAGTATAGTCACACTCATTTTCTGACCTTACTAACTTTACCGCTGCTGTAACAATTTACAATTAGTCTGTGTTGATCTTTAGTTTAAATTTAATGACCAACAATAGCTGTAAAGGGGATTAAAAAAAATCATTGGTGGTGGTTCCAGAGGATTTAGGTGTATTGGCCAGTAATCCATGTAAGGTGAAAATAGGTCCTGATTATAGGGAAACGCCCTACTGTGAATGAGACATGAGGGTTCATGTAGGCCAGGGGTTGCATTACCTTTTTTTTTTTTTAACAAGAGTTACTTTGATTAATTAAAAATATCCCATATTTCTCTCCCCCCCCCCCCCCCCCCTCCCATGCTCAGCTCTGACCTAGAACCAGAACAAAAAAGTGAGATGCACAGTATAGGAGCAACAATAAATTGAAAACTGCAAAACCTATATCCAAGAATGCTGAATAAAAACTGCCCAGTTTTCAGTTTATTGTCTGTCCTAGAACCAGGGCTAGGCAGTTACACAAGACCCTTAGAATAATACAAGGAAATAAAAGGCTAGAGCAGCTCTTTCTCTGAGTCTTCTAGAAGCTGTATTTGCTTCTGGGCACTAGTACCTCCTCAGCTAGTTGTTTAAGACTCTGCTTGGAGATGGAATGATGTGCACTATAAACCACCTTGGCCTGATGATTTTTCAAATTCAGCTCCTGGAAAGAGCACTCTTGTGACACCTTACAGTAATGGTTGTAGAATTTAATGACAGAGTCCTCAATGTTTCCCTTAAAATGCACCTTTATTGTAACGATTCAGAACTTCCTGCAAGTAGGTCCTCATATAATAATTCTTACAGTGTCACATTTTACATCTGTGGTCATGCAGTGTACATTCAGTACTTTTTGACTTGTGAAAGCAACTGGCACTTTCCTGAGAGACAAAACAGAAATATAATATGCTATTTTCCTTCTGGAGAAGATCAGTAAAAAGAATATTTGGTTTTCATTAGGATAGACTGTGTGCAGCTCAGTATCACATTACTCTTTGCAGGAATGAGGAAAGATGGCATTATGGACAGTCATGTGTATATAGTCCGCTGTAGACTACCAGATACACTCACTAAAAATTTTTGAACTGGAGCCTACTTTAAAGGATGATGTTTGTGAAAAGGTTTGTGATCCTCTATTTTAGGAATGTGCAGCATCTTCAGTTCCTAATAACAAGTGTCATAAACTAGAAAGTAGCTAATTATAAAATGGCAGTTGAACGAACAAAAAAGATTGTGATAAATATTTTAAGTATTTTGAAAAGCCATGCTAGTGGTAAAAACAAAGTGCAGGCATTAGAAAACTTGTCAAATGTTAATGAGGCTTCTGATTTTAACTTTAAAAAAACACAAAGCAGATAACTAATTCAAACATCAAGGGCAGCCTTTGGGGGTGTGATGTGCTTTTTGAATTCTCTTTGCATCTGCAGTGCAGTAAATAATTTAAAGATGTGTTCTATCAGAACAAGCCCGTTAAAAGTGAAACATGAGGATAAATGAATGAGCTTGAGTCTACACAGCTTATAATGTAATTTGCCATCAAATTATCTGTCTTTAGCAGTGAACAGTCCAAATACCCTGGTCCTATTCACGTTTACTGGAGGGAAGTCCCACTGATTTTAATTAAGACGTTTCCAAGTAAGTTTGCCTAGGTTGCAACCGTAATCTGCCTGTATGTGAAGAGAAGGAGATTGGATTTATCCCCCGCCCTTCACTCAGAGTCTCAGAGCAGCTTACAAACTTCTTTCCCTTCCCCTCCCCGCAACACACCCTGTGAGGTAGGTGGGGCTGAGAGAGCTCTGAGAGAACTGCTCTTAAGGTCAGCTCTGACAGAACTATGGCTTACCCAAGGTCATCCAACAACTGCGAGTAGGGAATCAAACCCGGTTCTCCTAGATGAGTCCGCACACTTAACCACTACACCAAATTGGCTCTGTGACTGTTTTTAACAGGTGATCTTTCAAAAGAGCACAAAGCTCATACCATTTCTCATATTTTTTGCCCCCTAGAGCTGAATTAGATCTGCTTCACCAGTTGTTCCAGGAGGACTGAGGTTATTTTTTAAACAGCTGTGTGAGACTAATTTTGTCAGCCCTCATGTATCTGACATAAATGTACATAAGCACTATGGTTACCCTCATTGCAAAGTGGATATGAAATAAGCTTCTACCTTATTAACAGGGCAGTCTAGAGCACAATTGCCTTTCAGTATTGCATGTAATCGTGAATCAGGATCGTCTAACTATTTTTGTTATTCAGTCGCAGTCAAGTCTGACTCTTTGCGACCCCATGGACCACATCATGCCAGACCCTCTTGTCTTGTGCTCTGGAGTTCGCTTAATTTCATGTTCGTTGCATCAATAACACTGTGTAACCATCTCATCCTTTGCTGTCCCCTTTTTCCTTCAATATTTCCCAGCATCAGGGTCTTCTCCAGTGAATGCTTCCTTCTCATTTGGTGGCCAAAGTGAGCTTCAGCTTCAGTATCTGGCCTTCCAGGGAACAGTCAGGGTTGATTTCTTTTAGGATTGACTGATCTGATCTCCTTGCAGTCCAAGGGACTCTAACTATAACTCATTGTTGTATGTCTAAATTTCCACCCAGTCTCTGACTTGCACACGATGGGTGAATGCAGGAGCTGTTCGCCAGCAGGAATATGCAGTGGCTGACCTCAAGTGCCAGTGCCAAACACTGGGTATTGAAGCAACTGTTGCAGGCAACACATCGAGCAGGAAAGGAAAAATAAAGGGGAAAGGGATGTGGTATAACTAGCAAAAGCATCTTAAAGGCTGGTCCGGGACTGAAGTGGTAGTCCAAGCAGTGATGGGATATGTTTCAAGGAGGAGCTTTCAGGACAGAAAAAGTACTTCATACTAAGGCTCGAATCTTAAAATGCATGTAATATGAAAGTGAGTTTCACTGATTTCAACAATCTTGCATCAAAGATGCTCAGAAATGGAGGCATACTTTAAAGATGCCCTTAATTACATTTATTTTGCTTCATTTATACCCCCAAAATGTTTTTTGACTTTCTCCTCTATTTTATCTACAAAACAACCCCATGAGGTAGGTTAGGCTGAAAGTGAATGGCCCAAGGTCACCCAGCCAGCTTCCATGGCAGAGTGGGGATTGGAACACAGGTCTCCCAGATCCTAGTCTGTCCCTCCTAAGCAGTACACCACACTAGCTCTGTTTTTTGTCATGGAAAGTATCAGGCGTGAATACGACTAAAGCTTCAGTATGGTAAAGACCTACTACCTCATGGAACAATCAGTTGCACATAAAGTAGTACAGAAAAAAGGATTGGATTAGATTAACAAAGCCTTTTTAGTGGGTGCAAGTGGAATTTGAAAAGATGTCTATTTTAAATGGGGAAATGGTCATTGCAATTGAGGAAAAGCAAAAGGTGTCAAGAAACCTTTAAAAAACAAATCCTGTACCATGTGTCAGCAAGCTGCCATGGTGTTCTGTGTTGCTTGTATCTCTGTACAGTTGCTAAAAAAACCCCCTGCCTGTGCGCCTGTATTTTACTCTGCTGTAATGCCTAAGCCAAACAACTGGAGGATGTATTGGGGGAGTACGCTTATTGCCAGCTTGTTGCTTTTAGAGCCTGGGAACTGCACTTGTATTATGTCTGGAGATAACCTGGTTCTCAGGGAATGAGCGCGCAACCGTTTCCTTTCACCCGCCAGCGGGAACGTGACCCATTGGTTCTGTACCTGTTTCAAATCCCTTTATTATGCTTGCCCTAACCGTTTGTAGTCAGTTCTAACAAAGAACGTGTTTGAGTGTCTTTCCAACGCTTTGAAATAAATTTTGCTTTTCTTTAAACGTGGATTTATTCTCGATGCTTGGGGATCCAACACAGACACAGGATGAGGACACTCCCGATGGCTCTCCCTTAGCGGAGCCCCTGGAAATTTTCCCTGGAGAAAACGGCAGCTTCCGGGGGGGCCTCTATGGCATCACAAGCAGTGTTCCCTCTAGGCTGAGTTAGTGTGAGCTAGCTCAGTTTTTGGGCCTCCGGCTTTTTGTCTTCGCTCGGGAAGGATGGCTCCAGAGCAAACTAATTTATGCAGTACTCAAATTGCTTGCTCACAACTTTAATGTCAGTAGCTTACAAAATAGAATGTTTGCGCTCATTGGTTGATCAAGTAGTAAATGAAAATAACTGACTGGCTATGAAACTATATTATTATATCAAACTATATTATTTTTTTGCTATTTGCACCTGGAAATCCTGTTGACCTCTGGTGACTACTGGGGGCCTGGAAGATATTCAGAGAAGTGGCCTCTGTCCTCCTGATTTGGTATTCCAAGGAAGTTTCCCATCCAAGTACTAACCACAGTTGGCCCTGCTTAGCTTCCAAGATCTCATGAGGCTTGCCTGGGCTATCTAGGTTAGGGCTCCAACTATGGTTCTTTACCAGTGAAAACCTAAATATGCTCTTAACGTGCAGAGGGACTTACTTCCAGGTAAGCATCAGTGGAAGTTGCAATCCTCTTCATGACCTGTCCATCCCCCTTTTGGCAGGCCCTATGCGTCAAGTGCCATAGCACTTTAGGAGAGTAATACTGCCCTACTGTGGCTGCTCTGGAGAACTGCAATTGCTATTAAGTATTATTAGTCGTAGCAGTAATTTTGACAGCTCTCAGAAACTTTCAAAAGTATCCAGTCCTGTTCGAAGGCAATGTACTAGCGACCGCTAAATTTGGGTGGGGGGCATCGTTCGCACTACATACTTTCCTACAGCCTCGAAAGTAGACCCTCCAAGGATCTAATGGCAAATGAGCATTAGGTTCTAGCCTTGCTCAGAAGGCCTGATGAGCTCACTGAGACTTTTTGAGGACTGAACTCTATAATCGAAATTCCGTGCAACGTTGCAAGCATCTGAAGACGCGAGCTCTGACTTACGCTGGACTGGACTGGTGAAATGTCAAGCGTTTAAGGTGCCGCCGCTGGTCTTCGGTTTTACATATTTACAAGGACTATTAAATAAAGTGCGCCTGTTTTCCTCATGGGACCTGCTTGTAGGTTAATGGGGGCTTAAGCTTGCCTTCTTAACTTTGGAGGACGCCTGGACGTTCTTCCAGCACAACTCCAAGGTATATGGGCGGGGCTTATTTAAGTGGGCGTGACTACCTTTCGTGCGTCCACGTCTATCTATTACAAGCCACGTCGAGCGTTCTTAGGACCTGGAAGATCGATATGAAGTACTCTCAATATCTACTTGATAGCGATAAAAATTCACCTTTTTAAACAAGAAAGACTGTATCTTAAATTAGTCTTATCTTTAATTCTTCTTATCGTATGTTATCAAGCGACCTTTTTTGTACCCTTGTATTTTCTTTCTTTGCACTTTTCCTGTTGTCTAGCTTCCAGGACGACCGCGTAGCTTCCGTTATCGTGTCTACGGCGGCTGTAGCGAGACAATCCAGTAACGGGGCGTGTGGTGGGCGAAGGCGGCCGTCTTGGAGAAGTTTCCTCTGTGCTGGGAAGGTCAGGGCTGGGGTCGCCGCCGCCGCCGCCGCCATGGAGACGCTATACCGGCTGCCGTTCACGGTGCTGGAGTGCCCCAACATCAAGTTGAAGCGGCCGAGCTGGGTGCACATGCCTTCGGCCATGACAGTCTATGCCCTGGTGGTCGTCTCTTATTTCCTCATCACGGGAGGTAAAAACGCCCAAGCAGCCCCATTGCCTCTCTTGAGTCCGTCTGTCCTCGACTTTTCTTAAGACCCATGGAATGAAGGAGTGGGTGGATGGGTGAGAGAGGGCTTTCATCCCACGGGATCGAGAATAAAACGGGCGATATTGTAATGTAATGCCCCAGTACAGGTCTATGGTGCGACCTCATTTGGAGTACTGTGTACAGTTCTGGCCATCGTATCTCCAAAAGGACACTGCAGAGCTGGAGAAAGTACAGAGGAGGGCAACCGAGATGATTAGAGGGTGTTAGTTTTCACATTGTAGGGTGCATTCCAAAATGTGATCTTCCGTGCACATTTCATTCTCTTGTATACATAAATCAGGTCTGAAACCGAGCCCCCAGTAGCCTAGCTGGAGGGTGATGTGATGCAGGGGTCCCCAACCTTTTTGGGTCTGCAGGTGCCCTTGGAATTTGTACAGAGTGGTGGGTACAAACCACAAAATGGCCACCACAGGAGGCACAGCCACACATACAGAGGGAGCAGGGGAGAAATGAGATAATGTTAAAATACACTGGGGAAAGGGGGGGGGGGAATGGAAACCAACCTGGTGGTGGTACCTGCTGCTGAAACAACATTTTTAAAAACAGCCCAGCCAGTTGAATCTTCCCTGACTGCTCAGAAGCCCTGCAGGGCAAGCGCCCCACCTGGTCCCCCTCACTTTCTAAAAACACTTGGTGGACACTAGATATCCCTGGGGAGACGGGGACCCCTGGTGTTATGGAATCATTCGCCAAACGAATGGTTCTCTTTGGGCTGTGGGAGACAGGGGAAGCAGTTAATGGGCTACAGACTGATTACTTTGGCAGGACAAGAAGAGAAAATTTTTCCACTAAGATAAGTAGCCATATTAGTTGGGCCTTGGAGGTCTGTTTTCACCAACCCGTGTTACTAGCTTAGAAAGAAAAGGACCTCGTCGTTGAAACACAGCATGGTGTGTCAGCATTGATGACATATCCTTCATGTGTGAGTCTTGGACTGATAGTTCTGTCTTAAAAATAGGTGGTGACCTCTCCAACCTACCACTCACCCCCAATTTGCAACAGTCAGTAAACTTGCCCCCAATTTTTGTGTAATGTTGGCTTTCTTATCCCAGCTTGCTGTTGTGTATTTGTCATTGTTGTGTTTTACAGCCCTGTCGTCTGTGTTTACTCAGAAGCTAGTCCCATTGTATTTAGTAAGGTAGACAAGCATACTTAAGGTTGCAGCCTACTTTATTTAAATTGTTCTAATTGGTGTTGGATTTTGATGTAGTGGTTAAGGGCAGCAGACTCTAATCTGGAGCACCGGCTTTGATTCCCCACTCCTCCTCCACGTGCAGCCAGCTGGGTGACCTTGGGTCAGGCACAGTGCTGTCAGAGCTGTTCTCTCAAGAGTAGTTCTGTCGGAGCTCTCTCAGCTCTACCTACCTCACAGGGTGTCTGTTGTGAGGAGGGGAAGGGAAAGTAGATTGTACTTCACTCTGAGACTCCCAAATGAAGAGTGGGGTATAAATCCAATCTCCTCCTCTTCTTCTTTTTCCAGCTGAAAAGTGGTACATAAATTATGGTAAATAAAATAATCGTAGATTAGTTTGGAGATAAGCTCCCAAATCCTCTTACTGGAAGTTCCCCTTTCAGAATTATAGGTACAACATGTGATGTTTAAATAGCAGCTCAAGAGAGAATGTTGAGAGACCTGCTATGTGCATTTGTATGATTAAGGCCCCGGTCACACGGCAAAGTGGGTGGATTATCCGGGCGCGATCACACCCCAACATCTGGGAAGTGGAGCGCACCCGTGGTTTACCGCCAACAATGCGCCTTAAAAAACTAGTACCTCCAAGGTACTAGTAAACGTTTGCCACGGGCTGCCTCCAGACGCCAGTGGTGTGATCGCGCCAGCGCGCGGCATTCCCCTCCGGTCCCTCGTTTAACCGCCGGCGCCCCCGTGGTGTGCCGCCGGTGTGTCTGATCATGTAATCGCGCATCAAACTGCGCCGGGGCAATTAGCCATGCCTCCCCCTCCCCCGCGCAATATCCGGCCTGTGTGACCGGGGCCAAACTTATGTAATTCTCAAGGTGTGGTGATGGTTGCTAAATGTAAATGGGTTTTTGAAAGTGTCAGTTGAAGTCACAGAGAATCTGTTAATTACTATATATAGTAGCAAAATAGAGCTTTGCATGCCAGAGGCAGCATACCTCTGATATAAGAGGTGGTGGTGCCTTCCATGACCTGCTTGTGAGATTCTTGCAAGGTGACTTTCATGTTTTTATGCAGGTGAGTAATCTCACAGGGCTATGCAGCACAAAAACCTGAGGCTGGTGTTCTGAAGAATGCCCATACAAAGTATATTCTCTCTCAGTGAGCAGTGGCTTCACCCTGCAAGATATGTATGTTTTAAAGCCAGTTTCCCTGCTTCCCTTCTGTACACCTATTTTTCCTTAGCCACTCACAGTTAAACAAGTTCATGAAGGATAGATCTAAGCCCTTTATAACACTATCTAAGCTAGCTGTCATAAATCATTAAAGATTGTGACAGTGAGTTCCTTAAATTAAGTGTTGTGGCTCGGCTCCACCAACCTGGATAGCCCAGATTAGCCTGATCTTGTCAGATCTCAGAAGCTAAGCAGGGTCTGCCTTGGCTAGTGTTTGGAAGTGCAACCTCCAAGGAATACCAGGTAACACCACCTCTGAATCGTCTCTTGCCTTAAAAACAAGTCTAGCTCACCACCTAGTGGTGCATAACACTAAAAGAGCTAGAGCTTCTGGCTGCCAGACAATCTTAGGATCTCCTGGCTATACTACATACAATGTCATATGATGATGATGATAGTAGTAGCAATAATAATAATAATCCACTGAAGATGGGGCAGTGGGGTGGGATTTCCACCAACTCTCCCCTCATGGTGTTCCTGGGGGTCCCCAGCAGTGTTCCCTCTAAGCTGAATTAGTGTGAGCGAGCTCAGTTTTTTAGCCTCTGCCTCACACATGTTTGTCTTAGCTCAGGAAGGATGGCTCCCCAGAGCAAACTAATTAATGCAGTAGCCAAATCACTCACTCACAACTTTAATGCCAGTAGCTCACGAAGTAGAAATTTTGCTCACAGGACTCCAAAGCTTGGAGGGAACATTGGTCCCCAGTCCCCAGGAGGAGCATTTCAGTTCAGGTCAGGAAAAGTTATCTTTATCTATGTTCTCCACACCGTACATAATTTTATAAACCTATCAGGCTCTGTCCCCTTAATAACCTTTTTTCTAAGCTAAAATTAATTACGTTTTAGCAGTGCAATCCTATGCAGAGTTATGGCAGCCAAACCATTGAAATCAATGGGCCTTGTCTGGAATAAATGTGGATAGGATTGTATGGTAATTATTCTTTGACAAACTCATCTTTGCATGCGTCATTGAAATGTAAGTTGTTGCATAGGATAATTTCCCCCAGTTTTTATGATACATAGATATGGGCAGCTGGCACATTACTTTCCCTGCAAATCTTCTGTATTTATGTATTATGTACATTTAAAAATGAGTTTTTGCTGTATCTGGATGTTCTTGACAATGTAATGTGAAATACACATACTTTCTTGTGTCTATTTGTGTTCTAGAGAGATTGACTCAAAAGCTGCTTCAGAAACTTTAAAAGGGGCGACAGTGGTTCTTTTGTGGTGTGCTTCCTCTGATCACATTCCCACACTCTTGACTGTTCATTGGTTTTGTATTCCATTAGCTCTCTGTTAGCTTTTATTTTCATAGGTTTTTGTTTTTATTTTATCATTATTTTTATTATTATTTTATTCTTCTTAGGTTTTGGGTTTTGATGAAGTGCTGTTTTTAAGAAGCACTTAATGATCACTATGACTAAGAATGGGTTGCTTCCTTCCAAGATAAAATCACAGTTCTTTCTTTTTTAATAGGAATCATTTATGATGTGATTGTGGAACCTCCCAGTGTTGGTTCAATGACTGATGAACATGGACACCAGAGACCCGTGGCTTTCCTGGCATACAGGTAGAAAAGATATAGTGTATTACCATGAATTTCTTGTTCCAAATGGTGGTATGTAATGTATATGAGTGAACTGGTGAGGAATTTCAGACAGGCGATATATTCCGGTTCAGGAATGGTTCCCAAATGGTTTCTGGTCTGACATTTCAGACAGAACCATTTTAGAACCGGTTCCCTACCGGAATACATTTGTACTTTCACACACAAACGCTTCTGTCCCATTCAGGAAACGGGACTGAACTGTTTTACCTGTAAAGTACTTCCAAGTAGTCTTCAGTTTCTTCTCCCAGATCTGAAACGATTTTTCCCGCTGTTTTTCACCCGCGCGGGCGATCTCCGCCTTTTTTTTTAACGTTCGCTTTAGAGCGCTATAGTGCTCTAAAGCAAATGTTTTTTTAAAAAGTGCTGGAGATTGCCCGTGCGGGCGGGAAAAAGCAGTGCAGTCTGAAATGGCAAACCGCTTCAGATCCAGCTGTTTACCGGTAGGGGAAAGCCATGTGTGAAATGGCAGCCCTATACCGGTTTACTCCACAACGGATCAAAAACGGCTTCAAACCGGCTGAAAAAGGGTAATGTGAAATTCCTCGGTCTGTTAGGCTGGCTGGAACACAACATTAGAGAAAAGAAAACCAATAGTCTTGATAGTTGTTCATTTACTAGTGGTTTCCTTTTGCCAGCAGAAGAGAACCTGAGCTAAGCTCAATTTAACAGTCCTTCAGCTGACAAGCACAGTTTTCAGAAGGATTTGCAACATCTGTGGCTAAATGGAATAGTCAGGCTGCCCTCTTCAGGGAGCACTGACCTAGAACAACGTGAAATAGGGTAACAACAGCTGGCAGATAGTGACTGGCAATGAATACCTGTTGGTGAGGCTGGGTTTTTGATCGTGGATGCTGCCCAAGGCAAACTTTGAACTCTTTGGCTTGGTTCCTGTGCTGCAATAGCATAGCAGCCCTCATGAACGGGACATTCCCCCTCCTGCTACATCCTGCCATGCCCCGTGAAATCCTGCCCCCAGGTGTCAGCTATTGCTGGGGAACAAAGTGGGGCTATACAGTGGGAGGGGGAAATTGGTGAAATAGTCCCCCCACACACACGCATACACTGGCAGAAGTGCCTTCCATCAATGGAAACTGTAATTAGGATCCAAGTCTGTACTTCTGCAACCAACTGTGGTTTAATAGGGTTGGTTCCCAGTAAACACAGAGAGCTTCAGGGCCACCTCCCCATTCCCTTTGGGGAGTATCTCTGCATTGTTTGAATGGTGTCGGTTCCCACAAGGTTTCAGTCCGGAAGCAAGCATCCATGCAACACAAGACTGGGTGTTCATGTTCCATCTTTTCTGTGACTTGCAGGACTGCTGGGTGCTGCAACCGAATTCAGGAACATGGGGCAACCAGATTAACTTCTATTTATTTATATATTAATTAATTCATTTATATCTTGCCTTTTCCCCCAATGGGGACCCAAAGCAGTTTACACCGTTCTCCTCCATTTTATCCTCACAACAACCCCGTGAGGTAGGTCAGGCTGAGAGTGACTAGCTCAAGGTCACTCATGACATGAGTGGGGATTCGAACCTGAGTCTCCTGGACACTAGTCTCCTAACCACTATACCACACACTGGTTCTAGTACTGCTGTTCAACTGAAACAATATTTTCTCATTTTGTATGCAGAGTAAATGGACAGTATATTATGGAAGGGCTTGCCTCCAGCTTCCTCTTCACAATGGGAGGCCTAGGTTTCATCATACTGGACCGTTCCAATGCACCAAATATCCCAAAACTGAACAGGTTTCTGCTGCTTTTTATTGGATTTGTCAGCGTCCTGTTGAGTTTCTTCATGGCCAGAGTGTTCATGCGGATGAAATTACCGTAAGTGAATGCTTGTCATATCATTTTCTCCCTTCCTCTTAATTTTTAACTGTAATACAGAAATGTAGTTCGGATTACAGTGGAGACTAATGTAACCTGAAATGTCACAATTGTCTTTATACATACAAAGGACCTGAAAATATTTGGGAGTGTTACTTGTGCCACCAAAGTTATATAGTGAACAGTAAATGTCCTATCGTTTGGCAGTAATTACATCCTTATCCAGGAAGATGTCAGGGCTTCAAAACCATGTGGATTGGTTGGGGTAATATTAGAAAATTGCTAGAATACAGTATTCAGAGTCGAGAGAATTAATAATATTGAAAAAGTGCTATGCAAAAACCGAGTGCTCTCAGCTCTTAAGAACATAAGAGAAGCCAATGTTGGATCAGGCCAATAGCCCATCCAGTCCAACACTCTGTCACACAGTGGCCAAAAATACCAGGTGCCATCAGGAGGTCCAGCAGTGGGCCAGGACATTAGAAGCCCTCCCACTGTTGACCCCCCCCCTCCGAGCACCAAGAAGACAGAGCATCACTTGCCCCAGAGCCCCTATCTATACGTTGTGGCTAATAGCCACTGATGGACCTCTGCTCCATATGCTTATCTAATTCCCTTTTGAAGCCGTCCATGCTTGTAGTTACCACCACTTCCTGTGGCAGTGAATTCCAAGTGTTAATCACTCTTTGGGTGAAGAAGTACTTCCTTTTATCTGTTCTAACCCGACCGCTCAGCAATTTCATGGAGTGCCCACGAGTTCTTATATTGTGAGAAAGGGAGAAAAGTACCTCTTTCTCTACCTGCTCTATCCCATGCATAATCTTATAAACCTCAATCATGTCACCCCTCAGCTGTGGTTTCTCCAAGCTAAAGAGGCCCAAGCACTTCAAACTTTCTTCATAGGGAAAGTGTTCCAACCCTTTTATCATTCGAGTTGCCCTTTTCTGCACTTTTTCCAAAGCTATAATATCCTTTTTAAGGTGTGGTTACCAGAACTGTACACAGTATTCCAAATGAGGTTGCACCATTGATTTATATAGGGGCATTATGATATTAGCTGATCTGTTTTCAATACCCTTCCTAATAATCCCCAGCATAGCATTGGCCTTTTTTATTGCAGTTGCACACTCTCTCGACATTTTCAGTGAGTTATCTACTACAATTCCAAGATCTCTCTCTTGGTCCCTCTGTGCCAGTTCAGACCCCATCAACGTATATTTATAGTTAGGATTTTTGGCTCCAATGTGCATCACCTTGCACTTGGCCACATTGGAGCCCATTTGCCACGTTGACGCCCACTCGCCCATCCTCGATAGATCCCTTTGGAATGCCTCACAATCCTCCCTGGTTTTCACCACCCTGAACAACTTCGTATCATCCGCAAATTCGCAGACACTCAAGTATTTACAACAACTTTGTAAAGTTTTATTATTCCAGTATTAAAGTTGAAGCATTTGTGATTAGCAAGAACTTTGAAGAACTGTTGAATAAACATCTGTTCAGGAAAATATAATTTCTCACGGCTTAAAAGGAAATTAAATTCTGATTTCATCATGGATCGATCAACACATTCGGTCAGGACATAATAGTCATGTTGGATCTTATGTACTTAGGTCATCCTAGAGAATAAAACAGTTTCGTTCATCTTGGCGTAGCTTATTCCAAGCAAGCTGTGTTCATGAATTGGCCAATGAACTCCTTGAATTGGAAAGGACTCCTAGGAGAGCATTCCATCAAAAGTGGTATAAATTGCACTCTTGAGGGAGCAGTTCTCCAGAATCAGTGGTAGAGGATCTGATTTGTATACAGATGAACCTAGGTAAAGTATTCAGTTAAAAAGGTTCGGGTAATAGGTGATGTAATAGACTTCTACCTGAGACCCTGGAGAGCTTCTGCAAGCCCAAGTAGACAATACTGACGTTGATGGACCAGTGGTCTCATTCCATATAAGGCAACTTCATGCATGTTCATTATTTTGAAGACTCAACAAATAGTGGAATTCTGGGTTCTTGTTCAATGTAAATGGGCAGTTGTTAATCCTGGAGTGTAACTGTAATAATAAGAAGAAGTCGAGATTGGATTTATACCCTGCCCATTCACTACCCAAGGGAGTCTCAGAGCGGCTTACAAACTCCTTTCCCTTCCCCTCCCCACAACAAACACCCTGTGAGGTAGGTGGGGCTGAGAGAGCTTTGACAGAAGCTGCTCTTTTTCAAGAACAGCTGTGCCCAAGGTCATCCAGCAGGTGCACGTGGAGGAGTGGGGAATCAAACCCGGTTCTCCTTAGAGTCCACACACTTAACCACTACACCAATCTGGCTCTCTGTAAGGGTGCAGAAAACATTAGATACTTATAAGCATTAAAAAGAAGAGCAAGTGTGAAAACCTCAGTATCCATTTAGAGGCCAAGGGACAAGTGCAGCCCAGCCTGTACACAACCTAGCTTAACCTTGCCTCCTAAGCTGCTTCACACATGAAACTTTTAAACAGCAGATGGGGGTCAGCTTGTTTACAAGCATTGTAGTACATGTGTGAGGGCAATCATCACTTCAGCAGTCATGATCTATGATCGACAGGTGGGTTTCTTGCTTTCATCCTTTTAAGTTGCTTCTGTTCCATAGGATGTTTCACTTCAGGTTTCTTTCCCATCAAATCTTTCTTTTGTATTTCAGGGGCTATTTAATGGGTTAGCGCCTTGACTGACTGTGAGCACAACTTGGATTCTCTTGTTCTCCATAAAGAAACTACAGGCAGCAAAAATTCTGTGGCCCATCCCTCCTGTCTGAAGAGATAAGAAAAAGAGAAGTGGCGAAGGAAAGGACTGCTTTCTCATTTTCTCCTTGTAGAAAAAGAAGCGTTTGTTGCAAGCAAATAGTTTTATTGACAGATGTATGCCAATATTCTCCCCACTTCAAAGGGAACAAAATATTTGGAAGTATTAACAAGGCATAAGCATATGAAGTAGAAAATGTAAAATTGCTGCCCTTTTCACATCCCCCTCCCTCCCCCCTTCACTATACTTGCCCTAGTATTTGTGAGAGGCTTTTTTTGTCAATCAGGGCAAAGTGAGAGGCTTTTTTTGTCAATCAGGGCAAAGAAAATATAGATTGATCTTTTCTGTGTCTGTAAATGGAAATGACTGTTGGTGATTAATTGCCATTGTGCAACAGGGCAATTCAGCAGGTGGAATTCAGCAGATGGCGCTGTATTCCTGGAAAAAGCTGCCCAAGCTGACTGCACTGGTTACCTATTGGGTAAACTGCAGTTTGGAGTAGAGAGTTTGCCTGGAATTGGATTCCTGATTCTCACCCAACCCAGTCTCCTGCCAGCAGACTGCTTTTTGGTGATAAAAAAAATGTTTCTGTGTACATGTGGCAGGAACACTTTGTGTAAGCCCAAATGCTAGATTGAGGTCTTTCATGTTTCTCACCAGGCTTTTGCAGCATCAGCGGAGCAGATTCACACATTTCTGATTTGGGGCACATACTTGCTCTCCAGATATTGACTTGGATACCGTAAATGTTGATGTTCATGCTCTGTCTTAACGCTAACAGAAACAGACTCAGGCAAAGGAAAACCATTTTTGTGTGAAAACAGTTCTTCCTTTTGGAAAATGCATTTTAAAAAGGACAAATTAAACACATTTTCTACTAAACCACCCTGTTCTGTATTCATCGTTCATAAATTTTAAGCACTTCTGGCATTGATCTTTCCTGCAACCTGAGCTCGGTAACTGATCAATAACAAGTGGAGCGTCTGCAGAATGGGAGTGATACGAAGATTCCACTTAGCTCCCAGTAGTAGCTGGGCTGCAGCATTCTGTACGAACTGGAGTTTCTGAGTTGATCAGCATTGGTTCTGCATTTTTTGATGCCCACTGCAGAGAAGAGGGAGGAACTAGAAAGAAAAGATTACGTAAAGTAAGGGGTCATCAATACAATGAGCAGAAGTGTTACTGCACCTCCCTTCTAGCAGTCCTGTACTTTTTTCTCTTGAGTTCAAGCCAGTTGGTGCTCTTAAAAACAAGTAACCACTTGCTCTTGGGCTGCTTAAGGTTTTCACCACTTGATGCTGATCTCCTCTAATGTTACAAGTATTACTCTTGCACGTGGGGCTTAGCTCTTGTATGGAACCATGTGCTTTTTTAAGGTACTGAAGAAATATTAACTCAGCTGCTGTGATTTCACAAGCTTTGGCTTATTGTCCAAGTGTCTGTGTGCTTCAAGGGAGAAGGAAAACATTTCAAAGTGCATTTCATGAGTGTCCTTTTGTGCAATAATTCCTTTGTATCATAGACAGGTTATTTTAGATACTTCCTCAATAAGTGTATACTGTTATGGGGGGGTTGGTATAAGCATAAAAAGCACTGGTTTAAATATGAACCTTTAAGCAACGTCAAAGTATACACTATATACTTCTTAAACATTTAGGCTTTGATCCAGTGGATGAGTTCCATGCACACTAGACAACCTCTGCCATGGAGCACACTTACTCTTCCACTGTAGCACTTCCATTGGCACAAGGGCTCATTGGAAAGATTGATCCTGCACAAACAGAAGCGTTAGCAGAAGTGGACGAGTGCTCCCCAGCAGAAAGGCTGCCTAGTACACACACAGGTCATCTATAGGATCCAAGCCTTAGTTTTCTAAAACAGTAAAAATATTTCATTGCTTATGTTTAAACAGCCAAATGCTTATCACCCCAAATAGGTTCTCTTACGGATTTGTATAAACATGACTAGAAGGTGCTGATTCGTTCTTTCCGGTATTCCTCACTGTTTTCGTGTGTTTCTTCACCATACAACTTCACTGCCCTGGCCTTCCCCACAATCCTAACCTGAAGCAAGGACTGGTAGTTGGTTTCATTTCTCTATGGCGTCCTGAGTGGGACTAGCTAAAGGAACGTGTTTCAGAGCAGCCATCCTAGAGATCTTAAATACCAGGCCCACAATTCGCTCAAGCAGGGCTGTATTGGTGAGGTGGGCACCCATAGGATGTGCTGTCTATCCATGAATCCTGCTCAAGGAAAAAATAATCAGTTCTGTACTGGGAACCTAAAGCAGACGGACTCACAGAAGCCCAAGGCAACTCCTCTCCCTGCCCCATTCTCCAATTCAGCATTAGCACTGCTCTTCAAACCCAACAGAAGTTGTTTGTGACAAACAGGTCATATTTTTGTCTTTCATCCATGTCTCTATAACATAGGCCAGATCTATCTTATCTTCTCTCAATAGATAACAAAAGAAATGTATCCCTTGTTCATCTGGCATGGCACAGCACCAAGCTGAAATGAAAACAAGGTACAGTTGCACCCACATCCCTCAAGATGGGATGGAGGTTAGATGAAGAGTGAGTCCAAAAATGTCTCTTGATTCATGTCTCACGCCCACCACTCCTACTGCCTCTGCAGCATAGCAGTCTCACCCAAGTTTATATTCCAGTACAGGACTCACCAGAAATGTACAACTCCATAAAAGGAACATGGAACAATCCTCCGGTCATTCTAGTGGCAATCGTATACTGAGAAGACCAGAAATGAGCATCATGCTAAAGGGACATGGCAGATGGAAGTTTCCTGAGGCAGATAATGGATTAAAGGGTCTTCCCAAGCTAGTACTGCTTCTTCCATTGTGACTGAAGACAGAGCCACAGGCTGAGAGCTAAAGGCTCTGGCAAGCATGAGGCTTACAATAATACCCACAGGAAGAAGCAAAAGGAATGTGGTGAGTGACAAACATGTCCCCACAGCTTTTTGCATTAGAAGACCATCCTTTCATAGGTTTATACAAAGTTTATACATTGTGCTTCTAAGAAGTTCTTACATTTGCAGGTTATTTGGACCTAGTGGAGCATCTTTCTGTACCTCCTAGTTTCCTAAAACACCATAGGTTGGTCTCTGTGTGTCTTTCAATTGCCTTAGTTGGCAAGAAGCATTCTTGGTTGTTCCACAGCAGCAGGAGAAAAATTTGTGAAACCACTTCAGGTTCACTGCTATTCCAGCTTGACAATCAATTTACTTGGTCCAAGATCTTCACTGTTTGGAGTAGCCTTTTGTAGCTGGGGGTGAATATACAGGAAATTATTGGGCTGCATTTTGAATGTTATCTAGCTAGTCCTTTGGGATGGATGGGGCATGTGACAAATACAGATGTCAAACCACCAAGTAATAAATATTTGAACATTTTGGTCTGTTTGCCCGCAGGTGGCTCTACATGCATATGTTCTATGTAAAGTTGTGTGCCTTATAGAAAGATAAAATGTTAATAGGATTCATCCTACTTAAATGTGCATGAAATCGGATGAAAGGGGGAGGAGAGCAATTTTAGAAGAATGCCTACAAATCTTTGTCTTATATAATGTTCTTTTGTAGTGGCATCATTTTAGAGTGTAGTTGCTGAGTGTTTCTTCGCCTTCTTGATTATTTTTCCTTTCTCCGTAAAAATGTCTTTGGTATTCCTCTTTCTTCACTCACTCCCATCTGTAAAGGTGCTTGTATGATTCATCCTGGAAGCAACAGAATCCGGCTACGACTTGCAGCAATATTTGCTGGCAGCTTTAATAAAACAGTTGTTGCTAAACAATAGCTTCCCTGTCTTGGTTGTTAAAACACCTGTGAAATTCTCAATAAGCAGAAAATTTTGAATTTTCCTAGAAATGTAACTGTTTTGCTGTCATTTTTAATGTTTTGTGGGCATAGCAAATGCCTGTGTGTTAGGTTGTGCTGGCTGTAACCAAAAAGTCATATACAGAGAGAAGAGTGAGGACATATTCAGATGAAAGATGCAGCTATTTGATGGAAATTAATAATGAGTCCAAAAAGAACCCCAACCCTGTTTCTGTATAACCTAACAGCCAAGAGAACGCATATAATGTGTTGTAGATGGTGGATCATTGTTTTCCAAGAGCTTGGACAGTGTTCAGGGTACATTTAATTGTTACAGTGCAAGACCTTCTGTCCAAATTCTTGGCTCTCATAAGCCAAGAGAATGTTCTGGCCTAATCCACACAATCACTCTGCACGTGGCCAGCCCTGTTTTTCATTAGCCCAGGTTTCACTGTGTACTTGAAGAACAAGTCCCAATTCTGCAAGCCATTGCTCCACCCATGCAGTTGGCAATAGAGTTCACCTTCTCTGAGGAGCTGTATCATACCAAGTCAGATGGCTATTCCATCACACAAGTCTTGCCTACTCCAAGTGCTAGGGACTTTCTAAGATCTCTAGCAGAAGGTTTCTCCAGGCCTGATGTCAGAGGTGGCAGGGACTTGTGCTGGTGTCTTGTGTTCTGTAGTTGTACTGCTGTCTTGAAGCTATACTTTTGGGAAGAAGCCTCCCTTGAAGTCAAAAAAGTGATCCCCCCCCCCTTCTGATATTTGACGTTAATTTTCTTCAAGGCCTTCAGGCTCAATTCAGACGTGATTTCCCACAAGCGCTGCTCCGCGCTCCTCCCTTTTGCCCCGATGGTACGTGTCAATTTCACATAAGCTGCTGCGCGGCCGCATTTTGCCCCGCAGCTTCGTGCGATTTTCCCCGCGTCTACTCAATTCTCAAAAAACAGGATTGAGTAGACGCGGGGAAAATCGCACGAAGCTGCGGGGCAAAATGTGGTCGCACAGCAGCTTTTGTGAAATTGACACGTACCATCAAGCCAAAGAGAAGATTGAGCGCGTAGCAGCGCTTGTGGGAAATCGGGTCTTTCCTTCTAGAGTTTTCAGCAATTTACCAAAAGTCCCATCACTTACAGTGGTTAATAACATTCCCTCAGATACCCAATACTTTTCCAGTGCTTATATGGTTGTTGTTCAGGATTCTGTTGCAACCAGATAACTTCAAATCAGCAGCTGTTGTATAGATGAAGCGAGAATATACTAAAGGAATATACTTTAGGAATGCTTCCTCCTCTCTCCCCCCCCCACCCCTTCTCTGTAAGTGCTGATAGGCTTATTGCAATGCCTGTGCTCTTTAACCCCCAAGGTTTGTCCTCTTGAACAAATTGCTGGTCAGTTACTTTGTAACTGTTTTGGTTTGGAGTTCTTTTTTGCCTAGGAACCAGACTGAACACAGGCGCCTTCCACTGGCACTCTGTCTGCTCCCCTGATGATGTTGTGTGTTTATGACTTGTCCTAAGCTAACCTTTCCACTCCTACAGGGCTTTCTGCCCAGTTTCCCTTTCCCGGTTTAGAATGAGAAGAGTCCCTTTTTAAAGCTGCATGTTGTTGATCAAATGTGCAACTGTAAGCTTTGGTTATAGTCCAGGAGAAATCATTCTTACAGAAAACTTGTGTAGGCCATGCATATACTGTGTTGGGTGTGAGCTTCACGAAAGCAGTTGCAAGTAGACTTCAGTTATGGTAAGACTAGTAGTAGAGCTTTCTTGGTCATTTACAGTTTTCAGGAGATCTCAAGCACTGTCATGGGGGATTGACCCAGCAGTTCTTACTCTGGGACTTCTTGTGAACAAACAGATTAGCAGACGACTGATAAGATGCAACATTATGGGATTACAAGCATGGGTGACAAGAAAAAGCCATATTTTGGATTCTCCAAGGGTTGAAGTGTAAAAAAAAAAATTGCTTTCTCTCAGTTGACAACTGATTGCATAATAAGTACTGAGGTACAGGCAGAGAGCTCTTTCATTACTCCCTGGTGTAATCAGCAAAGGAGGTTTTAGCAGGCCCTTTCTTTTTTGGGCCATGGTTGCTTAGAGGTTAAGATGCTGAGCTGCAGACCGGAAGGTCGGTAGTTCAGCAGTTCAAGACCCAAGTGCTGCATGACGGAGTGAGCTCCCAGCTCCTGCCAACCTAGCAGTTCGAAAGCAAGAAATTGCAAGTAGATAAATAGATACCACTTCGGTGGGAAGGTAACAGTGTTCCGTGCAACTTGGTGTTTAGTCATGCTGGCCACATGATCACGGAAACATCTTCGGACAGCACTGGCTCTTCAGCTTGGAAACGGAGATGAGCACCGCCCCCTAAAGTCAGATTTGACTAGCTTTTGAGCAAGGGAAATCTTACTTCTTTTATTTATGATTTATTG